GACCGCTTTGCCGCACTCTGCTGCCGCAAAGACTCCGGTGACCGTGACTTCTCCGTGCCTGCGCGGGGCGGGGCCGCGTACTTGACCGGCTACCGCCCGTCCGCCGACTGGTTCGCCTCGCCGATGTTGATTCCAAACGGACCACGAATAGACAACAGAGGCACAGGAAATGTCGGACCGCAGCAGCTCATCTACCTCGACAACTCGACTACCGTCTTTGCGCTGTATACCCCGTTCCCAGATGACAACAGCGGCCTGGGCTCATCGAGAGTCATCACGCTCGGCTTCACCAGCGCCACCGCCGTGGGTAGGCTCACCTCCGCCTCGGCGGACACGCGGTGGTCCCTCCTCAACATCACCTCGGGCAGCCACGGCTTCCGGGCGGCCTGTGCCGTCGCCGTCCAGCCACCCGACCCGTCCGCTCCGCCGCTCCTTTACATCTTCGCCGTCGATTCCAACGACAACAACCAGGGCCGGCTCTGGTACATGACGCTGCCCCTGTGCGGCTACGACTCCATGTACGGCCACCCGAAGCTAGAGCCGGGAACCACCACCATCGACGTGGCCGCCCAGGCCGCCAGCAACGGCCTGCAATGGATAGACGGCAATTCTCCCCAGCCCATAAACGCTGAACCGACAAGGCCACTCAAGGTCGTCCGCTACGGCAACTCTCTTGGCGTGTTCCACCAAGCTGGTGGCGAGATTCGGTTGCTCAGACTTGACCTGCAAAAGGATGGCACCCTTACTGATCCTGCCTACCCCCAATTTAAACACATGTATCGTCAGTATACCAAAGTCACGTCTGAGAATTCGGCTGTACTGGTATCTGCTTGCGCCATACCCCTGAAGTTTTGCAACCGCTTTGTATAAGACCCCTGATACGCTCGGGCACGGGATATGTGCGGTGGAGAATTGAAGATGAGCAGTCGCTGTCAGTAAGGCGGAACAGGCAGATATTCAGAGCAAGGAGACCTTCAGGACTGTCCCAAGTGCTTCGATAGTAGACACTCTGGAAGTATGGGAGATATAAGAGCGACGTCAAGCGGGATTTGGTCGGCGCAAGTGTAGGCAATGTCAGGGCATCAGCTGCGTCAAGTCTAGTAGAAAAAATGTTGTTTAATTTTTAACCTCAATCAGACAATATAGTTGATGAATCAAATAGTCCAGTGGATTGCAGTTTCTTTCTTTCCTCTCATCCTCTGCTCTCTCCTCTCAGGCTATACACTTCCGTATGACCGCCCAGATTTACGATACCTCCTTTGCCTTAGCATGATGTCAACGATATTTGTTAAATCAGTAGTGCCATGATACTCCGAGCTGTTGCAATGCTTTTTGGCGCAGTTGTGCCCAGTGTTCGTAGCCAGAGCGTTTAAGCCACTCCACGCAGCTTTGTCAAGCCTACTACCTACATTTGTTGTGGCTGGACATGATTTGCCATGATATCTACGCCCGTTTTATCCCGCACGGCAACAGTGAGTTACCGTGGCTGGGCGTAGCTGGTTATCTGAGGGTAGAGGGGGTGTAGCAGCGAAGTCTAGTAGGTTGTCTTACAGCGCGTCAGGAGGTGGTCAAGCAATGCTACGTGATCAGGTATGGAGCTGTGAATTGAGCTTCTGCCTGCTCTTGGCATAGCTACTAAAAGAGGCGGCTGAAGCTGAGTGGGATAAAACAATCAATCATTGCATATGCGAGGCTAGCGCTTACTCCTGCATCTCTTTCCTGGAGATGTTGAGGAATGATCCTGGTAGCTGTGGCCTGACCGCTCAAGTAAGGTCTGATCAGCCGCTGGTACTCAATGAGCCTTTCTAGGGAAACCAGCGCAGGGGATTGGCTGTTGCGGTGACGTGGAGTGCTTGTTGGTTGTGGTTTGAGGCTTATAGACATGCCTTGATAGGCCCGAAGCCGAGCTGGAGTGCGAACCCTCACTGTTTAACTCCATCGTTTTGTATTACTAGAGGATTACCGCAGTATATATAGACGCTACCCTGCCCTCGAATTCCGCACTATTTAACCTTAACCCTTTTTATAAGTCTCCTATCCTTTCTTCTATTCTACCCTCTCCCTTATTAAGGGATTATTAAAATCGTAGTTTCAATAGCTTATTAATAAGCTAATATTATTATTTAAAAATAAATAACTTACTTTTATATATAAATACTAAGAGTCTTATTATTATAAAAATAATAATAAATATACTAGAGTATTTAAAAAAGCTTTTTAATAAATTTTTAATATTATTTAAAATAATTATTTTCGAGCTATAAAAAGAAGCCGAGGTACTATATTAATACAGCCCTATTTATTTTATTAGTATTAATAATACCCTTTTTAATATAGGATATATTAGTAATATTTTATAGCTACGTTATTATATTTTATAAATCGTACTTAATAATAACGAGGATTTTAGCGTTTTTTTTTAAGTTTTTTATTAAAGCTATTATTATAAAGTTAGTTTAGTTATTAATATTTTAGTAAGTATTTTAACTTAGTATACTTAGAGGCTCTTATAGTTTTTAATAAGAGGTTTTTAAGGGACTTATAACTAAATTTTTTACTTATTATAAGTAAAGTTATTATAATTAAAGCTATAGTAATTAAAGCTATAGCGCTATTTATAGACCTTAATAGTAAGTAATTAGTAATATAGTTATTTTTCTTTTATAATAAGCTTAAAAAAGTATCTTAATTTAAGTACTAGGTGGGTATTATACTGTTTTATTAAAACTATATTCTTATACTTATGACTTAGAAAGAATTAACTTTCTTCGATAACAAGGTACTCAGGAGTGCGAACCCTTGTCAAAACCGAAGCAATGTCTTCCAGCCACGGACGCCACCTGATAGGAGCTGTTACCCTCGTAAACAGGGCCAAAAGATCGGGAAAAATCTTTTCTCTTCGCACGCTTCCGCTCAGTCACCGGCTTCGTTTTCTGGTGCGAGGCCAGCAGCATCATGCCGACCGATCACAACCAGAACTTCAGGATACGAGGGCTACCCCGCGAATACGAGACTAGGGCTGATGTCCGTGTATTGATCAAGGAAGTTCTTTCTCTCGAACCTAACGCAAGCGTCATTGTTCATTCGCTTGCGATTTGTCCTGTCAAAGGAAACAGTCGAGTCGCAACTCTCCGTTTCAATCCCCTCCCAGATTGCTTCTCAGATCGCTCTAGAAATGAATGGGTGATTAGCCTAACGAATGAGGATGACCCCGACTTCAAGGCGCCACTCATATTCGATACTCACTTCTCAGGCTTCACACCTCTTCAACGTACCGTCGACGAGAGTTGTAATGTAGAGTGAGTTGACGACAATCTCACGGCGACTTACGCGGCATTAACCCATGTTCCAGTGTGATTGCCATGTCTGGCCTCGGAGGGCACGCATTTGGTTCGTTCAAGGAAAGAGGAGGGCCTTTCATGTGGCTCCGAGATGCGCTTCCATTAGATATTCCAAAGGCAAGGATCTTAATATATGGGTACGACACTCAACTTGTACAGAGCAGCTCCTTCCAAAACTTGTCAGATCTGGGTAGAGCTCTCCAGATCGATTTGAGAGGTATTTGGGTGTGTATATCGCGCCTGAAATCCGAGTCGCTCTATGTATCTGATCTAGCATACAGGACCCAATGCATTCTCATCCCATAGTGTTTATTGGTCACAGCCTGGGAGGTCTTGTTATCAAAGAGGTCAGCTCAAACCAAATTACCACCGAAGAAGGAATTGGCTACTGATATCCTTGCTATATCCTTTGGTGCAGACTATAATCAGAATGAAAGAAGAGAGGCACGAAGCGCATGCATCGATCCTAGATTCCATCTCTGGATTCATATTCTTTGGTGTTCCTCATCAAGGCCTGGCCATCGAGTCACTCGTTCCTCTGGTCAAAAATCAGCCTAACCGGAGTTTACTTGAGTCGCTCAACAAAAACTCAGCACTCCTCCAACGCCTGGAGAAAGAATTCAACAATGTAATCAGTGCAAAAGGGCTGTCAATTGTGTCCTTCTACGAAACGGAGAAGTCTCCCACGGCTGTAGAAGTAGGTTCATCTGGTTTGGTTCGCCTCCGATGAAGGCCTGCTTACACTTAACTTAGGTGAACGGCAAGTGGGAGTTGTCTGGGCCTAGCGAAGTCTTAGTTGATGTCTCTTCAGCGACATGCTACAACAATCAACGCCATCCCATTGACCGCAACCACTCTGAGATGGTGAAGTACAGCCACGGACACGATGTGTTCTACAGGCGTGTCATCACCGTTATACGAGAATTACTAAGCGCCGCTACACAGAGCAGAACCGGCGCCAGAATTTCAGGAACTGGAGTTGACTGTGGGTAGCTGGATCCCGATATCTGTGCGGACAAACGAATAACAGCTCTTGCAGCATCTGTATTGCTTTCGAATGATAATATGGGTAAATACCCCGAAGAAAAACTGTAATTAATCAGCTGACACGGCTTAGAGTGTCTCAGGTCACTTTCTTTTCGAGAACAAGAGTACAGGTACAGCGATGTTTATTCCACAAAGAACACCTGTGGTTGGCTTCTCGAAGATCCGCAATACCGAGCTTGGATGAATAGTATGCGTGGTCTTTTCTGGATCAAAGGGAACCCTGGAACCGGCAAGTCTGTTCTCATGAAATTTGCAGTCACGATGATGGATCGCAGAGGGTCCGGAGAACTCGTTGTATCTTTTTTCATCCACGGCCGGGGAAAGCCCTTGCAGAAGACTCCACTGGGTGTATTCCGGGCATTGCTTAACTCCATGCTCAAGTTCTTCCCAGAACACCTCATTCAGCTCACTGAACGATTCAAAGATCGGCAGGCACGATTTGGGGCTTATGAAGAGAACCGATGGAATTGGACCGAAAGGGAACTTCAAGATTTCATGTCCGAGATTTTGACCAAGGAAACGAAAACACAACCTGTGATAATTTTCATCGATGCTCTTGATGAGTCCGGGGAAGATGATGCTAGAAGCCTATTAGCGTATTTCAAAGCTATCATGGACGATATCAAACGCGAAAAGGCACTGGTCAAAATATGCTTCTCTTCAAGAAATTATCCTATCCTTGGATACGAGACTATGCCAGCAATCCACGTGGAAGAGAAAAATGACGAAGACATTAGGCTAGTTGTTCGAGAACGACTCAAAGAAATTCATCCGCTTGCGAAGCGGCAACAGCTCGAGAATGAAATATTGATGAAGGCTCACGGGGGTTTCCAATGGACAGTATTGACTGTTGCCATGATACTACATGAAAGCGCTATTGGTACGAGGGTCCAGAGTCTGCACAAAAGACTCACAGCTATCCCGGAAGCTCTTGATGGGCTGTACGCTGAAATATTAAGCGGCGTCGACACTGTCGAGCAGCGCCAGATGACGAAACTGTTTCAATGGGTCTTATTTACCGCACGACCATTGTCTTCACACGAGCTCCGAGAAGCCCTTGCTATCGATTATGATGACAAGGAATGCACAACCATTCCGCAACTCAGAAACCACGACAACTGGACAGATACTGTGACTCAGTTCGAGAGAGTCGTCACACACATTTCCAAAGGCCTCGTGGAGTTCCGAACCCGCGAAATTTGGGAGAGATACGATCCTGATGGGGAGGACTGGGATCGGGAAGCACAGTTCGTCCACCAGTCAGTTGCGGATTATGTGCTCAGAAACTTTTTCAAGCGCACCCTGCACGGTTCTACTTGTCAATCTCCCATTGGAGCTGGTCACTTTGAGATATCGAGGTCTTGTCTGAGCTACCTGACTTTGAAAGAAGTCTTAGAAGACACCCAGCTATCTTGGGGCAAACTCTCAGCAAGATTTCCCTTGATACTATACACAGCGGAGTTCTTGTTCCACCATATTCGGGAAGTCGAGCGTGCAGGAATCCCTCAAGTTGACCTCCTTGCGCGCATTCACTGGGGTCGAGATTCTGAAACCGTGAATAAGATCGCGAGCTTATGGAGAGTGGTGGATCCTGACAATAATCATTCGCCCAGGGGGTGGCCCTTTGTCGGAGCAACACCCCTTCATGTTTTGGTGGGATTCGGCTCAGAGAGCTATTTGAACACTTTCCTTGGTAAGGATGAGGCGGAGTTTGAAGTGAGAGATGCGGATGGGAATACACCATTACTCCTCGCTCTCGAAGAGTGTCGCGAAGATCTTGCTTTACTACTGCTGGATCGGTCCATTGAATGGCAGCTCGAAGAGAAGGCAATTAACCTGAAGGCCGCCCAAGACGAACGCCAAGGGCAGACAAGAAATTATCTTTCTCACCTGAATATGGAAAATGGTGACGGGGAAACGCCCTTAACCGTTGCCGCGACGGTGAAGGCTAGGGAGGTAATCTTTAAGTTAATTGAGGCGGGCGCTGACCTCGAACTCTTCGGACGTCAGAGTGAGTTGGTACAATACGCTATTCGTCACAGAGACAAAAGACTCATTTCCATAATGTTGGAAAAGGGTGTGGAGCTCGACGGAGCTATCTTTTATGCGGTCAAGGACATGTCCGAGAACGACGATCTCGATGGTCTATTCATTTTGTCGAAACTGTTCGAGGCTGGTGGCAACACACGCAAATCCACGGATTTTGACCGGACATTCGGGAACGACGAAGAAGAGGATGAAGATGAATATGAATACGAGGATGAAGCAATGAATGTAGCGTCGCGAAGAGGCCATACGGCAATCGTCAGCCTTCTTCTATCCCATGGCGCTTCAGCGGAAATAGAAGACACACATGGTGATTTCCCATTGCTGATCGCTGCACGTCATGGCCACGAGGAAACGGTGGAGTTTTTGCTTCACAACGCACCGCAATCTGTTAAGCTGATTGACGGTGATGGGCTGTCAGCATTGGACACATCCGTTAAAAAGGGCCATTTTGGATTGGCAATGCAGCTTCTCCGGCAAGGGTACCAAGTTGTCGCATTTGAGGAGACATTTTGCACGGCTGTTGCCGCGGGCAAAGTGAAATTAGCGGAAGCAATTCTATGCGCAACACTAGAGAATGCAGACGTGGGCAATGGAAGAGACCAAAATGGCCGAACGCCCTTCTTGTGGGCCGTCGAGCTGGGGAATGAAACAATAGTCAAACGGTTTCTCGATATGGGCAAGGTCGACGTCGATGGAAGAGACCAAGATGGCCAAACGCCATTCCTACAGGCTCTCCAGCTAGGGCGTACAGCGGTAGCTAAACTGCTTCTCGATACGGGCAAGGTCGACGTTGATAGAAGAGACCAAGATGGCCGAACACCATTCCTATGGGCTCTCCAGTTGGGACGTCTAGCGGTAGCTAAACTGCTTCTCGATACAGGCAAAGTCAACGTCGACCTAAGAGATCAATACGGCCATACACCGCTCTTATGGGCTCTTCAGCATGGACATGAGGCGGCGGTTAACTTCCTTGTGGGTATGGGTAATGCCGACGTCAATATAGCAGATGAACATGGTCGAACGCCACTCTTATGGGCTACTCAACATGAAAAAGAGGGGGTGATCAAGTTGCTTCTCGACACGGGCAAGGCCGACGTTGATAGACAAGATCACTATGGCCAAACGTCGCTCTTTTGGGCTGTTCAGCATGGGCACGAGGCGGTAGTTAGATTGCTTATAGACACGGGCAAGACCAACGTCGATGGAAAAGATCAATGTGGCCGAACACCGCTCTTTTGGGCCGCTCAGTATGGGCATGAGGCGGTTGTTAAGCTTCTTCTCGATACAGGGAAGGTCGATGTCGATGGGAAAGATCAACACGACCGGACACCACTCTCATGGGCTGCTGAGGAGGGCCACGATAGGGTGGTCAAGCAACTTATGGACACAGGTAAGGTCGATATCAATAGGAAAGATCAATGTGGTCAAACACCACTCTCAAGGGCTGCACAGCGGGGGCAAGAGGCGGTTGTTTGGCGGCTCAAGTACTCATAGAATTTCGCACCCTCTACATGCCGTAGTCTTCTAATTAAGTTTCTTCACCTACGGCTTCGCTGAAAGATGAGATGGTCAACGTTCCCATGGCGACTTGGTGAGATGCGGCATCTTGTCATTTCCTCAAACCAGTGACAACCCCCTTTAAGAAGCTGCATCTCAGCATCCTTTCCGTAGCTTGAACCGGCTACCGCTGGCTACTTCTCATGCAGCGGGCTACGTGCAATGAATAGAGATGCTGACCTGAGCGTAACTGTCGAAAGTGAAGAAATGGAAGGTGCCCGAGATGTTAGATGATGACCCATATCGAAGGTTGTACGTGTCCAACAGCGTCTTCCAGGAGTTTTTACGTGCTCTGATAATTAGGATGAAGGATCTTGGAAATCTCTCATCACTTGAAATATTCCGTCTCGACCCGTTATCTACGTTTTCCTCTTGAGAAGCTTCTCCTGGGACGCATCAAGCAATGTTTCCTGCCCGATGTACGATATTGGGCTCCATGTTGCCAAAGTCGATGCGGACCTAGGGTCAATGACCAATAGCACTTACCGAAGAATGAGGCTACATAAATTTTAGAACTAAGGTTGCAACATTGTAAAAAGGCGACGGTGAGGAGCAAGCGTGGACTTCCTCGCCAAGATCTTCGAAGGCCTAATCCCACACTCAGTCATAACTCATGACAACAAATCTCCCCAAAATCTACTTGCATCCATCAATCTACACTACGAGTCACTGTCAATTTAAGCAAGACTTTTTCGTTCAACATACGCAATACTTGCCTAGGTATTGGGGGGTTGCTTTGGGGGAAAGGCTGGTGCGTATAAGACAGCGCCACCTTCTTCATCTTTGCCATCGGAACCAAGGAAACAGCCTTCCGCCGGAAGCCAAAGCAACATTAGCGAGAGCATCCCAACGAATCGACGAAAATTAACCTTGTCGCCTAGGCTTTGTCGCTGGTGTATTTCATCGCGGGCCAGCGGTAGCGTTCCCCACCACGACCGCCCGCAAGTGGACCACGATAACTTCACAAAAAGATCAAAAACATACAACACCAGGTATTCGCTGGTCGTCACCGACCCAACTACTAATCCGGCCCTCATTGTCTTGTCTATAGGAGAGCGGACGGGATCCCGAATTTTCCAATGGGTATGGTCGTATGTGAAGGCATCGTGAGATCCTAGGGCCTGTGACGGGCGAGAGATCACGCTGCAAGGCTTAGGAGCTATCTCAACGTGTACTTTTCTCCAATTTCTTTCATTCATAGTGTTTATATAAAAGTCTATTTGAATCACTTCAACTAAGCACAGAAATTATCTGCCGAGCGCCATCGTGAGGGGGGCTGGCCCAGGCGTGATGATGACTTGTCGAGGTCCTTGCCCTGACTTGTCTCGATGTGCTATCGTAGCCCAACTTCCCATCGATTTTGATGATGTTTTAAATTTGGATCCTTTCCCATCACTCTCTAACATCGATCATCCTGTCAGTGTCTGCCTCTGTATCATTGTTGTTGATGTTGGCGGCCTCTTCGCGCTTCTCATCTACCACGGCCGTTTCCACTGACGCCAGTGTCAAAGAGTTCGATGCTGTGTTTTTTCCAACACCATTATAGACGCTGATTCCTTCATTTAGGATATTGTCTGGGCATGTAGCAGCCATGTCCAGATATTCGTTGAATGGATAGCTGCATAATTGGTTGAGGCCTCCCTCGATGCAGTTCGAATCAGCCTCTTGCCACTGTGTTGATGATGTAATCTGATCATCCAACAACGCCTGAGTGAAGTCGTATTCATCGATTGAACCGAAAGTAGCGAAGCATGAAGAAATGCCCGCGGTGTCATCAAATACGTCTATACCGGTCTCTAGTACCAGTGACGCGACAGATGCGTCTTGGTGAATCGACGAAGTGGAGTCCTCAACGCACCTCGCGTCAGATGGGTTTTCAATAGTCGATGAGAATGTGGCTTTTTGAGATGCAGTACATGCGCCTCCTGGATGCTGCGGGACGTGGCTTTCCTTCGTCTTGGCGATCTTCTTTTGAGCAAATGTCTTGAAGAGCCCCAGCACTGCGCGCCTTTTGGCGTTGTCGAGGGAGACTTCAGCGATTTCCTCTAGTTTTGAGAAGAACTGCTCCCCCATGCCAGAGTCATTGTCTTGGGTGAACAGCTCCTGAAGATCACTGTGTCCTACAATGCTGTCTTCGTACTGGATCCTGTAGACTGTAGTAAGGGTCAGTAACTCTGATCGACCCTGGAAATGTCGGCAAATGAACCTGGACCGACGTACAAGGGTCTGGAATGACAGTGCAATCCGGGAACAGTATGCGGTAGATATTCCTCCAATTCTCTTCCTCTGATCTATGGCCTCGTGCCCGCTTCCGACTTTTCAATTTCTTCAACTGGTCTTTGTTGAAACCTTCGATAGAGACATTCTTGACGAGTTTGCAGGGTTCCTCTAGCTGAGCATGCTCTGCCGAGTCAGCTTGATTCTCAAAGACTCTGCCGCAACGTAGGCAGTTGGGCTTTTGTTCATGGTGTCTGTATAGATGCTCTCTAAAGCCAGGACCACCGATCATTAGTCTCGGAGAGCTTCTAGTTGCAGAGTGAAACTTACTTCAGTCTGTGAGTGGAGGGGAAGTAGCGAGTGCACGACAGAGTTTCTCCGTAAACCGCCGGATTGAACTTGAGGTATGGACAAGCTAACTTTATTCCCTGGGAACGCGATGCTGTTGGTGGTCTGGTCGGGCCGCGGTGCGACGGCCCGGAGAAGCGAGTATCTCTGGATGGCTTCGGCTTCTGGCAAAGATCATCATTCATGCGTATCTTTTCATTGCCAATCTCATCGACTGGTTCACGTGGCTTGATATTGGCGTTGCTATCAGTTGAAAGCCTGGATGATTTTGTGAGCTGACTCGAATCGTCCTGTGTAGAGCCCGTGTTTCTCTCGGGCCCTCGGGGTTCAATTCGCGTTTCTCCTGCGCCTCGATCGCGGCTGAGCATACCAATCATTCGATACGGAATGGCAGAACTCTTGTCGTCTTTCTTCGATTCCCGTAGGCGAGATGTAGCCGTATTTTTGCGCCTACCATAAGGAACAGGCACGAACTTAGTTCCATCGTCGTTCGGAGAGAAGCCAGACTTGTCTCTGCTCAATGCATAATTCCTGGGCTGTTCCGGAATCCCCGCGAATGTCTTGGACCTTTTCGATTCGCCGAGTGCCATTTGTTCAAGCTGTTCTGAAAGCGTGGCTGCGTTATGGACTTCGAGGTCACGTTGCTGATGGCTGTGCTTATTCGTTATAGAGACGGAAGCTTCCGTTTCAAGTTTGGCTGAAGCATCGCATTCTCCTCTTGTTCCTCCTGATTCCCCGCCTCCTATCCATCCCTCATTCTTGTCATCTTCATCATCTTCATCATCTTCATCATCTTCATCATCTTCATCATCTTCATCATCTTCATCATCTTCATCATCTTCATCATCTTCATCATATCCAAGAATACACAAGACCCAACCCGTGCCGCTTGTCCAAATCGGGTCGTCGATAGACGGGATCAAGAGACCGAAATCGTAGCCCTCCTCAGCACCTGGCTCGACCGACGGGCGGGATCTGACCCATGCCGATTCTTCCTCATCAACTGTACGATTGTCGGGAACATATTCAGCAAAATTCTGAGTTGGAGAAGACATGTCGCCCGAAATGTATACACGATATGATCAGGCTCGATAGCCCGTATAAAGATGAAAGAGGTTGACACAATAATTGTATGGTGATTATAATAGATGAAATCGATTTCGGGCCGTACAGGCTCTTATTTGGGGCGCAGAATGCCAAAACGCCGTTTTGCGAAATTTCGCAAAACTCTTTCGCCGCACAAGGCATGCTCGATCACTGCTGCCTAATAGTTGGCTGTCGCGGTATCGAAGGCCAGGGGATGGTGTCCGCCAGTTGGACGAGATGCAGCAAGCAACGTCAGTCATGCATGTGCTTGAGATGTACGGCTACGTCATGTCACTGCTGCCGGTTATGGTAGTCACACACCTGGACATTTTGTCATTCTCGAGAGTTATGATTGCTTTGCGGGAATTGAGACAGCTTTCTATCAAGAATTCTCAGACATATGTAGGAAGCAAGTCATAGGGGCAGCATGAACTTCTTGCCATCGGTTATTTGATGATTATTAAGGCTTTCTAAGATGCGTAATCCTGACCTACGACATGTTGAGCCCGCGTAGGAACAGTATTAACTCCATCATAAGTATTCATAGGTTCAACCCCAAATGTCTTGTCTTGAGCTTGGGCGAGGCCTCCTGGCAAAGCATTTCCAGTACCCAGTAAGTCATCCAGCCATGCGTCGCCATTGTCATTGGATAACGCCGCATCCCAGGCCGACCAGCAAGCAATATCCGAGTCCATGTCGAGACCAAAGGCTTGAAAATCCAACGGGATGCTGCGGGTCTCTGTGGCTTCTACCGACTGACAGGTACTCAAGGCCATCACCGGATCCATTGGCGGCACTCTGGTTTGCGTTGCTTCCTGAACCGCGTTGATCTCGTCTTGCTCCCCTCCCACTTTGTCGTTCGGTTTGCCACTAGCCTTACCACGCTGCAGCTTCTCCGGAGCCCCAGCGGACCTTGCGCTGGCAAAGGACCTCTCGACCTGGCTGGACTTTGAGGCGAGTGTGATGGCCTTGTCTTTGGCGTCTCCCTCTGTGGAATGACGGAGCATCTTAACGGCGAAACCCTTGAACACATTCAACAACTTTCTTCGTTTCTTCTTGCTCAAGCGGCCACCGACGGCCTCCTCCAGTTCCGAGGACATCTCCTCTTCCACTGGCGATGGTATATCTCTAGTAAAAATGCTCTCGACATCGTCTTGCTCCCGTACTGACGCCTGGCTCGTGGCGGTCTGGTCATCGAGAGAGGTCTTGTAGACTATGCTCAATGTCAGCTGGCTTTTCACGTCGTGCTCATTCTCAGAGTACTCACAAGGATCCGGGATATCTCGGTGACTAGGAAAGAGAATCTTGAAGATCTCTCTCCACTTATCCTCTTCCGTCTCGATCCCCTTTCTACGCTTCTTACTCTTGAGAAGCTTCTCCTGAGCAGCATCAAACCCCTCGACAGTGTCTTCGCCCTGGACGACGTTGCACAGAGTCTGCGCCTTGAGATGCGTCCCGACTTCAGCCTCGGTTTTGAAGAGGCTGCGACAGCGTGGACAGTTGGGCTTTTGCCTATGAGTTCTATGTAGGTGCTCCCTACGTACACAGCAGCGTCAGCCATACTAGTTTCTGGGAGCGGTGTGCAACCGCAAAAGACGGGACGGGCCACAACTCACTTCAACCGGTGCGTGCTAGGAAACGCCGCTCCCCGACAGCTCCGTCTCTGACTATACCTCGACGGATCGTGCTTCAGATATGGACAAGCCATCAGCAGGGGCTTCGCCGGCTCGATAGAGGAATCGAGCCCTCTTGTGCCAGAGTATTTCGGTTCTCTAATCGTCTCCACGAGTGAAGGGCCGGGGTATGTACTATTCAAGTTATGTAGGAGGCCATCGGTGGTGCAGTCTGACCCCAGCTCCAACGTTGGAATGGCATCCGTATAGGACTGCGGATGATAGTTCACTGGCGGTAGACATGCCCCGATGTTGGACGTAGCCCAGACCGGCGGGCCGTAACGGTACAAATCATAGTTCGGATTGTTGGAGACAGGATCCGGAGCTGGCAATGCGGCAGCCGTCGGTCCCCCCGAAGTCGGATGCGCAGCAGCTTGCTGAGATGGCGGTGTAGTATACGGCGCCGGCGCCGGTGCTTGCTGCTCATAGATGGCCAAATGTGAAAGTTGCTGCGTCAAGCGCTCCGTGGGATCATAGCCCGGGCCGGGAGGAGTCCACACTGCCTTGTACGGAGTATGCAAGTACATGCTCAATTGAGGTAATACACGTCGAGAATTTGAAAGTCAATGATGCGCTGCAAATCATAGAAAGACTCTCAGATACCGTAGCAAAAAAATCTCAAAATCAGCTCCATTGAAGTAGCTTTCAAAGACGCGGGGGCGGCACCATTCTTAAAAATACCATACGCCCAAATCTCGCAACTTCGCATTTCCATGATTGGCCTGTGTGACATGAGGTAATCCCCGCACACACGCGAGGCGAACCACGAGGCAGAGCCTGGCTCAGCTGAATGACCGGTGGCAACCTGGGGGCCAGAACGAAACCAGTGGCCATCAGCTTATCCCTGGTCGACTGCGCGACGGGTAGCTACATTGGAACCGTTTCATTGCCCACCATCTACCACGCGCTTCCGCCCACCCTCCGTCTCCAGCATCGCGGGCGTTTTCCTCACTCATATGCCGAGAGAAACATAGGCTTGGGGATGCAGAAAGAGAAGTATGTGAACAAGGTGCCTGGCCAATTGCACACGATACAAAACCTTCCAGGCCTATCGTCTCAGGGTTTCCGGAAACCTGCAGGAAAGAAGTTGAGAGAAGTAAACAACTTCCAGAAAAGAGAAAGGAAGGTGAAGCAAGACATGGAGAGACGACGGTAAACTTCAACTCCTCTACAGGATCTATACCCTCACTCGAGTTACCCCTCTCAGACGACTGTGTGGATGTTTGCTGGAAGAAAACCGGATACTTGGGTTTTCTTTTCAATTTTCGAAGCCTTCAGACGTCCACCATATTCCAGGTGCCGTGAGTGCCAAAGAAGGCTCTACTACCGCACTCGTATCCAAGGGATACCAGAGTTTGAGCGCGTAAACGAGTGTCTCGCACGGTCATGAGCGTGTGAGCTAACCCGCAGCCTGATCTCAGGAATGCGCATCATTCAAAAGCAGGCAAGGCAAGGCCTGAGTTTTCGCCCGGCATGCCCCGCCATCACCCCGCCACCGACCTTCACGCACCCAAAATTACATCTCATTCAGCAGCAGCCGGTCACGGAGCATCCAGCCAACTACCGGCACGTCACGATACTTTCACATTCCAGAACAAGTATCCTAGCTAAGTACGCGCATAGTACGTGGCCGCACGTACTCGATGCAAATGAATTATCTCCTACAAAAGTCTTTTCTACAAATACAGGGCTCCTCCTCCCCCGTTCCCTTGCCCCAAACGCCATGAGTGCTCTGCACCACACTTTGCTCATGCCTCCATGTCGAATTTCACTTCTTCTTTCCTCTCAAGTCTGGAGCCTTTCGTGTGGAATCTTTGCCGCTGAGCGTGGCTGGGTGCGAGTTCTGGTCTGACTGAGGATGCAACGGTTTATTCACTCAAGAAGTCTTTGGGCGGAGAGTCGGGGAGAAAAAAAATCATGATTGATTGCCGCCAAAACGGAGAAAAAAGAAGTATGCCATGCCATGCCATGCTGACCCTTTCATGCCCGACCGTCCGTCGCCGTGTCAAACCATCTCTCAAAATTGTTTCTTTTTTTTTGTCGCAAAGGTCTCCGAAAAAAGGTGTGATGCCAAACAGAAAAATTAGTCGTCAAGTCGCGCTTGAGAAACTCCAACAATGTCTAGACGGACAGTCCGTATCTGCCACAGGTGCGTTCTTCTAGTTCTGTGCCAACGATGAGGGACGAATCAGGCCATATTGCGAAACGCCCGTGAAGTCTGCCTGGCCGATAGGCTCCTATGACGCGCGAATCGTCAAAGTCGCCTCGAGGTCGTATGTTCGTGCAGAAGAATTATGTATGCTTGTTCAGTGCCACCATTGGCAAGGGTGTAATGTGTGCTCGCAAGAGGCGATAGTCTTGCAAGAGTGAATTTAGTGCGAGAGAACGGGATGATACCGTGCCATCGAGTAGAGCGCAAGTGGTAAAACGGGCTCTGGCGCCCTTATTTTCTTCAGGGACGATGTGAGTCGCGTAAGCACTTTGAGGATCGAGGGTTTTTAAAGCTTAGTGCTTTCGAGCCGGAGAATACTAGTGTCGGCCCACTTGACTGTTGCTGGCGCGGCTGCGCTCATCCTCTTCCATGACATCGCTCAGGCGGGTCGGGTGATGATGCCTGGGGACAGTCTCCCAACCTGGAGCAGCATAGCCCGAGCCGGAATAGTCTTGGGCTGTTCCCTGCTGCTGTTCTCCAGCAGACGTGGTGGGGGTCTGCAGGTAACCGGCACTGGGAGGGTTCGTCGCTGGGGTTTCATACTCTTCTATACCTTCGTCAGAAACTGGGGAAGGTGGAGCAATGAAGGGAACCTTATTTCCCTGGGAATCGCGAACGAAGTGGCCTTGCGCATCGATAGTGTACTCACCTTCAGAGTATCCACCCTCGGAACCAGCACCCGTGTAGGTAACACCTTCCTGACCTGGATCGCCGGATGGATAGAGGTTGCTGGACGTGGCGGGAATGGATTGACCACCAGGGGCTTGAGAATAATCGCCAGCGTAGCCGGCCTGCTGGCCGCCGTATTGCTCACGGGAGCTGCCATGGCGACTGGGAACACCCTGCGTCATCGGGACGACCTGGACGCCGCCGAGGATGGTAGGCTGACCGCTCTGCAGAGACTGGGTCCGTTCGCGTTCTTCATGTTCGCGGCGACCAAGCTCCTCCCAAGCGCGGCGGGCCTCTTCTTTGGAGATCTGGAGCTCCTTCTTCATCTCCCTGACGCGTTCATCGTTGGCGGAGTGCTGACGCTCCTTCTGGATAGCTGCCTGAACAGCATTCTCTCTAGCACGTCTCTCCTCGTCAAGGGCCGACTCTAACATGGCGTTGACCTCCTGAGCACGCTCCAGCTCAGCCCGGGTCTCGAAGAACCATCGCTGGAACTTGCGTTCAGAACTAGCGCGGAGGCGCTGCAACTCGACGACGGCGTGGAAAAGGTTGGCACCGGCCGCAGTAAGATCGGTGACCTGGCGAGAGAGCGCTTGGTTGACAGGATCACGCTCAATGTCCTGGTTGTTCTGTTCAAGTCGTCGAATCCAGAAGCTGGTGAGACCCTCCCAATGAGCCGATAAGGTTTCCCAACGCTCAAACGCGTGGGGAAATGAGTTTCTGGGTCTCGATCCCGTAGCGCCAGACTCCTGGGCTCCTTGAACAGAGGTGTTAGCAGGCTGTTGAGTGGTGCTGGCCTGAGGGGCTGTGCTGTAGGGTTGCTGGCCGGGCTGAGACGTCGACGCCGTTCGACCGTGTCGAGTCTGCGGCTGAGTCGTTGTGGGCTGGCGGGAACTTCCTCCCGGGTTGGTTCGGGTTTGTGGGGTATCGGTAGCTACGGGTCGCCGGTGAGAGGTGGGGTCCTGCTGGGGCACGTTGGCGGCGCCACCAGCTGTTCCTCCTCCGGCAGCGCCAGTAGCGGCGGTGGCAGCTCGGCGCTCCGCATTCCGTCTCTGCGTCTCCTCCAATAGGCGAGCTTCCTGCTCGGCTCGCTGTCTCTCCAACTGCATCTGTTCCTGTTCGGCTCTCTGACGGGCTGCCTCTCTAGCAGCGCGCTCCTGCATGATCATTCTAGGACCACGAATTCCAGAAGGCGAGCTGGTAGGGTTAGGGGCGCCAGTGGTGCGCTGGCGAGTGGAAGCCGAGGCATTACCGTTGGAAGCGGCAGTGCCGCCTCCGATCAGGTCAGCCATTGATGCGCCTTCTTCTATCTCGTCGGGCGTGAACAGGTTAGGTTGCCGAAGCGCCTCCTCAAGAGCGAAGAGGATGGCACTGCGAGTGTTTCTGGAAACGCGATGAGGTCGGTGAGACTCGCGTCGGGTATGAGAAGACGATGATGTTGGGTCTCGGAATAACAGAGCTTCGTCGGAGGACTCTTCGTCAAAGTCCTCGCTCAGATCCTGTGAGAGAACTCTTCGCGCACGTGAATTTCGTCGATCGAGGGGAGCGACGGTTCGAGGGTAATCGTAATTAAAAGTCGGGGCAGGCGCAAGTGTTGGCGTGGGCGCAGGCGCAGGCGCGGTCGCAACCTGTGGTTTGGGACTGAAACCTACTGATGCGGCCTCAATGTGGACCTGGCGGGCAGACTGCGGTGTAGGACTTGGGGTCGCAACGGATCGCGAAGTACGTCGAAGGGTGCGGTGGGAGAGTTGGGACGAAGCTGGAGTGGTTGGTCTCTCAGCGACTGGATCTGGGGTAATGTTTCGCGCTTGCCTCCGCTGCTGCTGGCGCTGCGCAGAAGGAGTCGTGATTTCGTGAATTTCGTGACGGTCGTTAGAAGGCGTGGGGGGAGTTTGGTCTGTCAACTTGACAATGTTGCCCAGGTCACTGCTCTGACCTGTTGGGGTAGACAAGTCGGAATTATCACCACCTTGGTGGTGATTCGGAACTGAGAAATGAGGTAGTGTGGGTGGTGTTGAGGAGGATCTGGGGGAACGCTGATCCAGCAAGAGTCAGCAAGTACCGAAAGGTAAGAACACGGAGGTGGTGTGGATTGTGCGAAAGTCGAGTTACATGGAAAACCGGGCAGGGAAAAAAATGGGTGAGGTTGGAGGGAACAGGGTACAACTTACTCGGTAGGGTGGTATCTTGATGATGGGGTCCTGATACCACACCCAAAAATATTGTCGAAGGCGGTCTGTATGAGCAAGTTGCTACTGCTCAGCAGAGACGAATTGAAGGCGGAGAAGTGAGGGTCCAGAGAAATGGAGTCCAAGAAAGAAGAGAAAGGTGCTAAGCCGGAGGTCTGAGGTGAAGAAATTCGAGAGGCTGGAGGTTGGAGCTTGGGTTGAGAAAAAGAGGGTGGCTAGGCGACAATGCGCTTTGGCAGCGTGGGCGGAATTGGACGGATAGATTGGAAGAAGCGTAATTCGAACGGATAAGAGTGAGACTGGAGCCACCTCACTGCTGCCAGTGGTCGAATTGAGCTGAGCGACCTCTTTGAAATGAATTTGTCGGGACTGCTACTGACTGCGTGCAGTGAAGATGTTGAAAATGGCGAAGATGGCGATGCTGAAGATGTGAGATTTTTGGTGGTCGAAGTGAGAGGAAGAAAGGCCGCAGTAGTTTGGAGTAAGGATAAGAGTGAGGTGTGAGGTGAGAGGTGAGAGAGAGAGTGTGTGTGAGAGAAGAGGTTGCGCCAGTTGGGAGGCCTGCTGATTGTGCGTGGGGGGGAAAAAGAAAGATGGCAAGAAAAAATTCTTGTGAAATTGGCTTCTCTTTTTTCCCGTCGTGCAGAATGTTTGTTTTGTCGATGAGAAGGTGGATGAGGCGTGAGAAAAGCCAATCTCATGTGAAGGAAGGAGCGGCCAATTGGGCAGTGAGCGGTGGTGGTTGTGCCTTTCTTGCCCAGTTGCGCCTTCCTTTGATTTTCAGTGTCAACTCCAAGGCGAAGTGAGTGTGGAGAGCATCACGTAGGACACTCCAAAGGAAGGTACAAGAACCTGGGAGTGAGAAGGTGCAGCACCTTGGGCTGGAAGGGGGGACCAGGAGCTGAAGTTGAGGTACCTTGAACCTCAGGTTCTCCCACTTTCAGGTTGCTGCTCTTCGGCTTCCTCCTCTCTGCGAGGCGGTCCTCCTCCTCGATGCACTTGGATCCAATTGGATGCGACCTGCTTGCTGGAGGCTGGAAGTTGGTCGCGCCAGTTGGGTTGGGTTGCGACGACCAGGCCAGGTACACGACACGTCCACCAGCCAAACAAGCTCTTTTCTCAGTCTCAGTCTCGGACCGTTCAGACTTTCTGATTGATAGCAACACGAATTGTCTCGGGTTGCCCTGGTAGTAGTGCTCGTCCAATTCCATCCAATTCACCACATCCAGCTTCAGCTCAGTCAATGTCAGTGCTGCGGCGCGTACGTGACTGGGCTGACGGGAGTGAGAATTGTTTGGTGGCCGCTGTTGCTCCTGCTGCTACCTTGGGCCAACACGGACCTATGGCAGCTCACCAAGCAACACCTCCTCCATGCGACCTCTGTCAGGATGTGGGTGTCGAGGTCATTGACGGCTTGAGTGGGTGGGTGGTCGGTCCAAAGTCGAATGCGCGCGATCAAGTTCGAGTTCGAGGTCAGGATGACTGATGATGCAAGTCGCGCAAGAGCAGGGCAGAAGGCAGGACGGAGACGGGGACGTGGGACACAAAACGGGATGGGACAGGTGACGGGTTTTAATTGTTTCGGCAGGGCACCGGCATCGTACCCAACACCCAACCCATCATCGCGTCAAATTACGAACCACGGCGGAGCTTCGCTTCTCACCCGGCGGACAAGGCAGGGTTCGAACCATCTCGACATGGAGCTGGGGGCACACTGGAGTCTGGACTCTGGACTCTGCACTGGACAGACAGCATCCGTACGTACAAACTGAGCCCTGAGGTATTACATTACCTGACATTAAAAGGTAGTCCTGGTGTATGGATACGGATGCAGAGTGCCAACAACATCTCCCGCAGGTGGACAACATGGGCCAATTTCCTCTACTGGCGCCCCCAGCCAAGGTACAGCATCCGCCAATTCACGGCGTGCAGCCATATGCAGGCTTTTGCAGCTCTTTGCAGGTTGTTCCCCGTCGCGAGGTAACTGGTCTGACGCCTTGGCTCTGCCATCCAACGCCAGAGCCGGCCAGGTACATTGAGATGCGCGCGCCGTGTGGAGCGTTGAGCTGTCGTCTATTGCAGCGCTGGCGTGGAAGATGGCTGCAGCTTTCAGGATTGGGCCCTCGGGATGCCTTAACGGCGCCTTCCTAAGTCTGACCGGTGCATGGCTCTCCCCGCTGAACATCATTGCCATTACGCGCATGGGATCGCGGGATGTGCAGCCTAGGCCGCCTGGTTATCGACGACCATGCGCGACCTCGTCCAGGGATATCCCGACTGCTCATTGAGATTATGGGAAACTTGGCCTACCCAAGGCCCCAAGGAGACTCTGCTGGCCATGAGCTGACATATCGGGCATTGGGTGCCAATTGGGACGGAGGGACGGGAGGATGGGCTAGAAGTGACAGTGTGCGACCAGGCGAAGGCGGCGCCGGCTGCGGCCACGACGGGAGATGAGAGACAAGAGATTGGAACTGCTCGCCTCACCCGTGTGGGATTGACCAGTGACCGATCAGCCGTGGCAGGGAAGCTCGGAGAGGCAGGGAAACTGCCTGCGGTGGCCGCGGTGCCGACGATTGAGATTGAGCCAGTGGGAGAAAATCAGGGGGCTGGGGACGTGTGGTGGGAGCGCACTGGGGATAAGCTGTGAGCTGTGAGCATGGGCAAGGAAGTGGGCGTAGGTTCGGCCGGAGAGGAGAGGAAACACCAATCAGCCCTAGTGTCAACCAATCTTGCGCATTCTGACCTCGGCCTGGACCTTGGTAGTGGCCATAAGACCGGCTTCGATGAGTGACGAGGAGATCCATGACATGTTCATGATCCAAGGGCACTTGTGCGCCGGCGGTGAGAAGGATCTACTTTCAAGAATGAGTGAGTGAGTGCGCTGTATGGTATGAGAGACGAAGAGTGAGCGTGAGCTTTAGGACTGAGAGTGAAAATGAGGTGTGGGTGAGTGTGTGTTGTCACTGCGCAGTGACGAAACCCACCCAGATTGCCAGTCGCCTGCACTATGGCCTCTCTCTCCTTCTTCAGCAGTCCCAACGGGATGGTATCTGCCCGGAGGTTCCCCGCCTAGGCCTCGGGGATCATCTGTATCCGTAAGGTGATGTGGGATAGATTGTATAGCGAACGTCTGAGTAGGATATTGGATTCGAAACAATGTCTCTGGAAATTAGTGAGGGAAGCAAGCTATTGCAGGTACACAATTGCAAACGATCTAAAAGGTCTTTGCTTTGCATATGTGCCTGGTCTGGAGAAACCAGCGGCCCTCTCCGTCGATGAATTGTCTAGACGATCGGGATCGCGGTAAGACCTGCATTGGCGCGAGGTTCGTTCATCCTTCTCTCGATGTTCTGTCGCCCAGCATCTGACACACGCAGTGCATTGGACAATGCGTTGAGATGGAATCAAGGAGGAAGGAGATGGTCTTGGACGAGCGTTGACACCCACCGAGCGTTGGAACTTTTCTTAAGCTTTGATAGCCAAGGCATCCCAGGAGAGTATTCGGATACCGCAGTAGGTACGGAGTATGTCAGTAGAAGTTCAACGTCCAAACTCCATGGAAGCTTGCTGCTTGAGTGCGGGATGTGCCTGCTCTTAACCCAAATCTTGGCATGATTAGGTAAGGTGCAGTCATCCAGGTCAACTTCAACCTGGAAGGGAAAGGCCTGGGCCCATGTGCCAGCGAAGAGGGAAAGAACAAGGGTGGCCCGTGCTAGAAAGGGAGCTCGGGGATCAAACTGGGAAACAACGGGTCGCTCCCGACGACTTCCCCCTGTTCCCTGATCTTGCAGGAGTGGCAGGACCCAATCAAACTACTCATTGGACCTTCCCCATGATTAAGCTCGCAATTGCCTCGTGGGCCTGGAACCGAACGCTCCAAGCAGGTGCGGTGCAGCGGTACTTCCTTCCATTCATCGACGGTTGCAACTTCCTAGACCTGGGCGCCATTTTTCAATTCTTCTTTGACTCTTCGTACCCGTCTGTCTGCAACGGTTTCTACGCCTTTGGGAATCAATATTCGCGCCCCCGAAACTTCAAGTATCAACTGCTTAAATCCAACGTCGCCCATCTGATTTCTGCCCGTTGCTATTCATTCAATCCAACCATTTCATCCGTACCTACGGATACCTTATCGACGACCAAGGGCCATCCTTTCTCGGCGTCTCTTTTCCAATCTGCCGGGCCCCTCAAGCAGCCTCCCTGCTTCACTTACACTCTTGAAATCTCTAAAGTCAAGGATGCCTGCCTGATAGTATCTATCCGAACCCTCGACTCGTTCAAACGTAAAAATCAGCACCCGAGGAAAAAAAAAAAAACTTGCGTCGATTTATTCCGTTGACATCCTTGCCCGGAGACAGCCGCCAATCAATCGTAACAAACCCAAAGGCAAGGGGACGCGCAACAGTCCGCCCCAGGGATGGCTCAGAGTCTGCACAAGCCACTGCGTTGGAACCTCACGATACCGGTAATCAACAGCCCTGAGAGCTGCTACCAGCATGTCTCGCGAGTCTGCAACTCAACACGATCGAGATCGAGATCTGACCCTTCTCCTTCCCCTGATTCACATCCCTTCTCAAGTATCCGCGAACAGGTTTGTCGACTCAGCCAGCGACCCTGTAAACTCGTGCGAGACAATGGACCCTTCAGGTACCATTACGAGATATCGCAGGGAGAAATTTTGAGCTTCAAAGTCGAGAGAACTTTTCGGACGATGCCCCGATGCGAGAAAGCACCACGCTATATCGAAGCGAACTCGAAAATTTGCACTTTGATCCGGCGTTGGTGGTTCGCAATTCGAAGCCATCAAGGAAAGCAGAAAAGTCGCTCACTCCTCTTCGGCCTCCCTTGCAGCATGTCTCTAACCATATCCTCATATCTCCGACCCGCACACAATCCTTCGGAACCACGGAGCATAGCAACATCCCTGGCCTGTGATGTTAGCTGACAGAATGAGATCGGTATGCTAGGGGCGATCGTCCCCTGTCGATCGTCCAGCTGCTCAGGCCCCTATCGGATTGCCAGGTCGAGAAAATCAAGAAGTCCCCATCTTGCATGGGAAACCTCTTTTCCAGGGTCACCACTTGTTCGCTGCCCTGAATCACTTGTCGCCCTTGGCTGCGGACGATCTCCCGCATCCTAACTTTCGGGGACCAAGACCACGCAAAAGACATACTGCCTTCGTTGACGCTTGATTTTGCCCGACCGTTTGCTTCCCGACCAGACCATTCATCGTCTTCAGGTGAACGTCGTTTGGAAGTCTGATATCAATTATTTTCTCAGGCCAACGCTGAAATGCGTCTTTGACGGCATGAGGCGTATGGCAGGCGGCATGACGTCTTCAATACAAATCGCTGAAACTCCCGCTGCGGTCAAGGCTTTCTTTCCCGTCTGCCACCATTCTGATCATTTGGATGACAGGCATCTCAGCTCGAATTGTCGTTAGACCGCAGCCCGCCATCCGATCGATCGAGCCATACATCAGCCGGTTTGTCACACTGTGGCTGTTGTTGCTCTGGAACGCCGCATGCCTACTGCCCGTCGCAAACGGCAGTACCAAAACAAATGGCCCGCATATTAAGATTGTCACCAAACAAATAGAATCAGGGGAACGCGGTTTCCGTCATCCACGGCTGTGGCTATCAACGTCTTGTAAGCCCCCCCCCCCCCCCGCAGCTGAGTCGCTCCACGAAAGAGATGGCTGAAAAATGGGCTGCGCTGTCGTAGCAAAAGTTATCTCCACCAAGAGGCAGATCGAGATCGCATATGAGGCTGAGGATGAGCAACATCGAGATTCACTTGTTGCTCTGGTTGTCTGATTCTCCCCGGACGAAGACTACCAAGCTCACCAGCTTGTCAGCCAACAGAAGGAACCATTATAGCAAATTGTGTTCTGTGTCTCGTTTCTCGTCGGAAAATCTTCCCTGCGAGACCATACTACGAGACCTAGGCCCTCAAGCCTGGATTACGTCAAGTTCTCGTGAGATCTTTTAGCTGGATTGCTTGCCCTTTTCTGGCAGTGTCTGTTGAATCGAAACAGAAGGTGGGTATTCTAGGCCGGCCCTCACAAGTTTGCTGCAGCAAACGCAGGCAGAGAAGGACCTCTAGGCTCATTGTGGCGCCATCGGTTCAGAGAGAAGTTGGTTGTCACCGTGGAAGCGAGACAACGAGGAGGTCGACACATTCCAGAGGTCTGGTTCCCACACCAAATCTTTTCCCGCCTTGCTTTTTCACTAGGACCCTCTCGGCTACTAAGGTAGTCAAGCGATTGCCAGCTGCAGAAGTGCAGGACTAAGGTAGTCTTCCCCGTCGACCCTGTTTTCTAGCCAGAAGACGGACGCTGAGGAAGAAGCCTGTGAATGCAGGGACGTTGTTGAGGCTCTTCTGGTCGGCTTCCCCGCATGACGGTGCCCTTTTCCTTGCTTCTTCGTCCCCTGCGCAGATTTATTGACGCTGCAGAAAATCTTGTTTTCCCTTTCGGTATACTCGAGCAGGTGGCCGGAAAGAGCAATTTTGAAGATCTCTCGATCCAAGGAGGCCAAGCCGGCAGACTCCTCGCTTGTTGTAAACGACACACCAACGCGATGTTCCCAGAGCGCGTTCGCTGCTTTCCTGAGCAAAACCGAGTAATGCAGAGACCCAAAGTCAAACCCTTTCTGTCCATTATGCATTCCTTTCGAGACGGAAGTCGCCAGCAGGCAATCTACCATTCCTGCGAGAGCCGTCGAGGCCATGCAGCATCCGATACCCACCGACCCGTCCACAACACACCGGGCCACATTCGGTGTCTTACCGGAACTCTGATTGGCCCCGGGCGCAACTGTCACCAAGTATGCATATCACACGAGGGATGGCCCCTAGGCGAGGAATGTCTGAGAATTGCAGGGGATGGTCTGGTTGTCATAATCAGCCACCCGGGTGGACCAGAACTCAAGACGAGACCTCGAGTATGGAGAGACCAAGACAAGGTGCTGCATATTTGTGCTCCTGTTGTTGTCCGCCGTTGAGTGGAAGGCATATGATTCGTGCCGCCGGGCCAGCCGTGACAGAGGAGGCATTCATACAACTTGTCTGGGGCAGGGAGACCTCCGCTTGGCTCCAGACGGCCCATGCATATATCGTTGCCTCGCCCTCATCCATGAGCCCTTCGGCCAGTATACCCATCGTGGCGTTATTATCCCCAGAGTCTCACGTCCAGCATAGATCAAGCCGGTGTTGCAGACGCTGACCGCAGCGATGTCTGGCGCTCATGAGGACATGATCGGTTACGCACAGGAGCTCGACATCACGGTAGCTTCTCGACCATCGTCTCGGCCGTCAAGCATGGAGCGGCAAACAAAACTTGCTCATCTTAAGCTCGTTTCCAAGTATTACGGATACGCCAACTTCTCATACCCTCGACCCGACGGCACTCCGACTCGCAATCCGTATAGAAGAGCCGGTCAAACGTACTCATCCGAAGACCTCACTCAAGATTATCACCATCACGGCCTTGCTTGCCCGGAAACACCAACCAAAAGAGATCGTACTTCTATGGGCTCGCAAGGCTCCAACAGTTCAGCACCAAGTCTCATTGATGATCGGACCGATTCCGAAGTATCGCTCGACGACGACTACCAGTACCACGCCTCCGCATCTCAGCTTTGGGACACCTTCTGGCCGATTGATGAGGGAAAGACCCAGCAGACTCCAGAAAAGGCCAAGACCCAGTATCCTGCCTTGATCCCGTCACCACATATCCGCAGGGCGAAGAAGACGGGTTGCATCAACTACGACGCTTACCCCCTACCACCCCGACCTGTCGAGTATAAC